AAGAGATAAGTTTTTTTTTAATTTATTTGATAATAATTTTAGCTTTGAATATTCAAATAAATCTAATTTAATAAAAATATAAGATTATTTAATTTATTTGGAAAAAATTTAAACCTTAAGCATCAAAATGTATTAATTTTGGTCAAATATTTAAGATTTTTTTAATATATTTGGTAATAATATTAATTTTGAGTATCTAAATAGATCAATTATATATAAAGATTTAAATTTGATAAATTTAATTTGTAATAAGATTAAGCTTAAGGACCTAGATAAATTAAGTTTAAACAAAGATATAAAGGTGCTTAAATCATTTGGCAATGGTATCAGATTTAAGCATATGGAGAAGTGAAGCTTAGTCCAAGATGTAATATTGCCCAATTTATTAAGCATCATTTTAAAGCTTAAGTACCTACAAAAATTAAGTTTATTGAAAGATGTAAGTTTACTCAATTCATTTTAAAACATAACCAAACTTTTACATTCTTTTAAATTAAGTTCCAATTTGTAATGATCTTAAAATTGAAATTTAAAAGATTTTTCATAAAATATATATTTTTTAATTTCAAGATATTTAAATTCTTGCATTTTATTCAAATATCTTTTTTATTTAACATTTGAGATATTTTATCAATTTAAATAGATATTTTTAGTGATTTTTTTAACCTATTATATTTTTAAAATAACATAAGAAAAGTATTTAATATTTCATTGACTTCTCTTAATGACATTGCAACAATGTCAAAACTCAAAAAATGCAAAGAATAAAGATAAGTACTTTCAAATCTTATTGGTATAGTATCATTTTGTCCATTATAAATTAATCCTTCTAATTAAGAACAAAGATAGTATAAAAATTATAAATATTATAATTTAAAAAATTATATTATATTTCATATCTATGTAATTTTTATTTTTTTATAAACCTTATATTAAAATATACATAAATTATTTTCATTACTAAATTTCATTGATTAAAATTTCTTTTGTTTCATAATTTATTATATTTTTATTTTTATTATTATATAAGATATACAAATAATTATTAAGAAAAATACCTTCTTTGAAAATCCATTACTTTATTATATGCTTATATTTCAATTTTGAATGCATTTATAATTCATATGAATGTCAACAATCTTTCTATCCATGTCTTGTAGTTGATTATGCATTCTTGTTATTCTATTATTTTCTATTTTTATCAATTATTTATAGTTGAATACATCTAATATATATATATATATATATATATATATTTTATTTCTTTGTATTTGTAGAAAATTATTAAATCTATCTATCCAATTTTTAAAATCAATCTATCTATTATTATATACTTCCAACCTTTGGTAGAAAAATTCTTAAACTCAATTATTCTTTCATTATCATAACTATTGCTTAAAATAGATTATTTGTAACCAAAAAAAAATATAGAGGTTTTTTTATAAAGCATGAGGAATCTAGAAATATTTGCTAGACAAACTACAAGTAAAGAATTGAGTCACATAACTTAAATACTTTACTTCAAATTTTATAAGAAACTTAGAAAAATGATACAAAGCTACAAAGTGCTTCAAGCCTTGATTTTTGAGAAGATCAAGACTTGTAAGAGAAAATAAAAATCTAGAATAAAAAAGAAATATAGACTATTTTTAGTATGATCTTGAGGTCATAGATATTTTATTTCAATTTATTTGCCATAGCTGCAATCAAAGAGCTCGTGTTTGTCCTTAGAAGGCCATATAGGAGACACCCTTGTAGGAAACTTGCACATACATGAGTAGTATATTAGTAGGACATATATATATATATATATATATATATATATATATATATATTTGTATAGTGATTTAAATAGACATGTCTATATACCTAGAACTTATGTTCAAATTTTCATGTATTGATACTATTATTACTTCATAAGACAATTATACAATTCTTCTTCATTTTTAATGTTTCTACATGGTATCAAAGCTGAATAAAGATCAAAAATTATAAAAAAAATAAATTTTTTACTTATGCATGAATAATTGGTCATAATTAAAAATCATATAAAAATGCCTACATCAACAATCTAATGTGAAGGTTATAGTTGGTATTAAGTCTTTAATCTTTCATTTCATAAAAGACAATGCCCACCCTATACAAATCAAGATATTATCCATAGATACAATTAGCATAAAAGCATTTTAAACCATATATCTAAAATTATAAAAAATATTAAAATTTGTTATACAAATCAAGATACTATCCATAGATACAATTGGCATAAAAGCATTTTAAACCATATATCTAAAATTATAAAAAATCTTAAATTTTTTTATACAAATCAAGATACTATCCATAGATACAATTGGCATAAAAGCATTTTAAACCATATATCTAAAATTATAAAAAATCTTAAAATTTGTTATACAAATCAAGATACTATCCATAGATACAATTGGCATAAAAGCATTTTAAACCATATATCTAAAATTATAAAAAATCTTAAAATTTGTTATACAAATCAAGATACTATCCATAGATATAATTGGCATAAAAGCATTTTAAACCATATATCTAAAATTATAAAACATCTTAAAATTTATTGAATATGGCACTTGTAAAGAACAAAAAATAAAGATTTAACAATTTCCTATTTGTAATGCTATTTTTTTTAACATGCCTTGTCGAAACACAACATTATATAAAGAAAAACAAATATCAAAGAACAAGTTATTTTCTTCAACTGTCAAGTCATTAAAGTTTATCCTTAAAATATTCAAAATCTTATAGTGACTAATTTTTCATCTCTATCAAAATTTCTTTTCCTTCTCAATCTTTGTAAAGCTTTCTTCCAACATCTCAACCTTTGTTTTTCTCTTAAAAATGTACTCACAACTTTTTAACTTTAAGGTAGGCCATTGCAAGCTTTTATATTATTTTCAACCTCAAAAAAAATTCATTAGTCAATTTATATTAGTCTTTGTAAGAGTGAGTAATGTATAACTTTAAACTTGAATCTTGATCAAGCTCTTCAATATTTATTTTTTGAATCATCATAGATCATGACTTTATTGATTTCTTATCTTTAGTTGTCACAATCAATGTACTTTTATTAAACATACAAAAACTCATAGATACAACACCTTCAATTTGACTTTGGTTCTTCACTTCATCAAAGACCAATACAAATTTGTTTTTGGTAGAAAATGCATTTGATGTTTTTTGAGTTTTTTTTTTAATAACTTTAATTTTTCAAATTTGAAATTTTCTTAATATATTGCAAGAGATTATATATTTTTCATGACTATTTTGAATTTTTCAACAAAGTATGCATTAACATATTTGTACTTTACATTATTAAATGTGGTCTTTGCTATTGCAATCTGAGAAATAGGCAGAAATAGTTGATTTTCTTTAAAAATACCAACTTGCAAATTAAAATAATATCATCAAATTAAATCATATCACAAAGCTCATATTTTAATCTAATTTTATATATACAAAAGTTTACATTTTTGGCATAATCTCTATTCCTAAGTACATGTATGTATATAAGAATAATATTTTTATTTATGCCTATTTTTTGAATGAATGCTAAGTTGCAATATTATAAGAATCTAAGAAATAAAGTTAGTAGTAATATCTTCAAGAAGGAATGACAACTTTTTAAAATTATTATAGCCATTTTTTTACCATAATAGTGTTAAAAATTTATGGAAGAATCTTCACCTACAAAAGTTTAAAATAATAAGAGTATTTTTAGAAATGGATTATTTGAGATTGTAAAAAATTGTAAAGATCTATTAAATAAAAGATTTGATGAAAAGATCTCTAAAGCATGCCAATGAGGAGTTCAAAAGACCAAATCCATCATTGCCTTTAAACTTGTGGATAGATACCTTGTGCATTTTCAAGTTTATGAAAGATCAAGAAATGCATTTAGGATATTTCATAATGTACTTAATTATAAAAGCTCATTTAACATTCTCTGTGTAATGTAAGTTTTTTGTAGTTAAAATATAGAAGAGATATGATAAGTTGGATCTTATTAATGGAAAAAATTACTTATTAATCCATTTTCTTATATAGAGGTAAATTTTGTAAGGAAGATGCAGTGATGTATTCATTCATATTTTACTAAAAATTGTCATATTCTTACAAATACCTATTTGAAGGTTTAGAAGTCAAATCCATAATAGAACTTATTTGAGATAATACCTTTATAGAAAATTTATACATAAAATAATAATAAAGTCCTTGCTTTAATAAATCTATAAATAAAAGATGGTGTTTTAATTTCATAAAGTTTTGATGCTTAAAATTACATTTGTGAAAAGTATAAGTCCACTATAATAACAACACATAATGTATTAGATTTATTCATCATAAAGAAGAATCAAAGGTGCACATAAAGCAATTTAGGTTTATAAATAAATTACAGTTAAATACAAACTTGTATTGTGTGGCATAGAATACAATGTTCAATTTGACGTAAATATATTGCTGATTGAAAACTAATAAGATATCAATACAAACCCTAAGATGATATTATGCATTTAGTTTTTGGCATTCATATTTAAATTCGTGATTTGAAAGAACCTGTTTCAAGTATTTTTGGGTTATTAACATATACTACTTTAGTTATTTGAATTCATTATTTAAATATTTCTCCACAAATGTAGATGGAGTTAACTGATCTAGACCGGTGGAGTACCAGCTAAAAAGACACATTAGGACCGCTCTAAGTGGCTCTCTGAAACAGAACCAAGATGCTTCAGGAGGGAACGGTCCCACAATGGGTCAAGCACAAAGTGCACGCTCTAGGCGAAACGTAGGAAGCTCCTTCAGGAGAATAGGTCTTGCCTTAGACATCAGCCTCGAAGTCCAAGGGGTAATTGCAAATGGCACGCTGATCATTGCAAATTCTAACCGCTCTCTAGAATCCAACATTGAAACAGTCAAAATTGGCTTACAGAACGCCAAATGCCATGTAGCAATGAAGACGACACTGAACCTGATAGATAAATTGTTTTTGCTGCGTCAGCTTGGTGAAATTACGAGACGCAAGGAATTTTTGTTCAAAATCCAAGGTCATGAAACAAATAGTTAAAAAAAACAGGGTTAAATAGCTATGGTGTCAAAATTTGGTTAAGTGGAGATAATGAGTTTTGATGCATCTCATCTTCTGCGCCGCTTGGACTTGGGACCACTAGAACTGCCTTTGGCCTTGGAATCGCCGGGAAATCCTTTCGACTTAGGAGCGGTAACAGAAATGGCTTTTGACGAAGTCTGCAGTACAGCTGACCGACGAAGGGCATCCAAAGGTTCTACTGCCTCTTGTCCAATCACAAGAAGCCTACTTTTAGAGGATGCACTGTTTACAGTACTAATAGGTGTCTTGCTACTTTTCTTGGTCGTCTTTGAGGTTACCTTAGAGGCCGTATACTCCTTCAATTGTTTCGCAAGCACTGGAGTGACTCCTGACTGCTCAATCCGACAGAAACATGTCAGAACAAGAAGCCACTTTCAAACACGCAATAAATATGACAAATTTACTTGCAAGAACATGAATGGGGGGAACGACACAAAATAGATGATACGAAAGCTCAAAAAAGAGGGAGGGGGCACAGGACGGACACATACCCCCGTAACGTATCGCCGGGAAAATGCCTTCGGTTCCAGAGGTTGATTTAAAAGCACCTGTAGCTCCTGTTAAATACGTCAAAAGAAAGTCAATTCCCAGTAACCTCCACTTACTACCAGATTATTATTGGAATTAATACGAAATTACAAAGAAGATCAAAAAAATAGTTTGTAAGTAGTGTTAACCTGCTGCAAAGCTTGAACTTTCATTAACTCTCGCTTCTCCACAGGCATCTTAACTGAGGCCTCGTCATCATCATCGCTATTTTCAACATCAAGTTCAAGAGCCTCGGCATTGCGTTTGACCCATGACTGTTTCGCTTTGAACTGCCAAGTGAATCAACACGTACTTTAGCTTTCATAAAGCGTGAAGACATGATCTTCAGGTCGCCAAACTGCACTAAACTTCTCTCTCTTTCTCAAAGTGAATTACAGTGCAAACTGGATGGAGCTTCAGTGCAGCCTGATAAACCGACCTAGCACTACAATGACTCTGCAATGCATATTGGGCATACTGAATTCAAACTCAAAGCCAACAATATACCTGCTGATGTTTGCGCAGCACTCTGTCAACCTGGAATGCTAAACTAACTCGCTTCAAAACTGCTGGAATATAGGTCACATCTATCGGAAAAGATGGCAATCCATTTGTCTGCACACAAATCATCCACAAAGAGCAATCAAACTCTGATAGCACCCAACAACGCATAAATTTGTGCTAGATGCGTCCGAGAAACTAGACCAGGACTCTAAAGGTAATCAATTTTTTTCGACGTAAGTATAAGATCAGAGATGAGGGCTACCTAACACCCATACTAGGTATTGTTACAAGGGTAGAAAAAAAGCAGAAAATACTAGCATTGTAAACTTAAGCATTTAGAACTGCAATAATTCGTACTGACATGTAACGGTTCGTAGAGAGTAGGGATCAAAACATACTGCACGCATACCTTGTCGAGGTTGCGACACAGGGTGTTGTACTTTGCACGATCTGATGGAGAAATAATAGCAATACTGCAACCATCAGTATCTGCACGTGCAGTTCTCCCACTTCTGTGAACATACATCTGCAGGTGTGGTAATAACGCGTAAATAACTAAAAATGTGACACGACCCACTTACTCGTCACTTCAGACTTAATTAAATAATGACAACAAAACAATGAATAGAAAAATACTACTTATATGTTTGCAATGTTATGTAGTGATTGCTATGATAGATAAACCCTGTGCAGGAAAAAATTGCCTCAGCAATCAACAGTAGCAGACATATATGGAACACTATAAGCACAAGTTTACCTCAGCAGAGTGAGGCAGTTGATAATGAATCACAGTTCGAATACCAGTCACATCAAGTCCTCGAGCTGCGACATCTGTTGCTACCATCACGCAATCATCAGCAGATTTGAATCTATCCATTGCCTGGTTGAGTGCACCAAATTTCTCATTAGTAATGGAAAAGCAGCAAAAATATCAGATGAACAAACAAAATAGGTGTGCTTCAATAAAATTGATAACTACTTGCAAATGCATTGATGTGAACTACGAAACAAGTACTGCTAACATGAAGTCAAACTGCAAGTTCTGTTTCGATCGATTTAAAAGTAGAATTTCAAACGAAGAAAATGAAAGAAGATTTGTTACCTTGAGTCGCTGCTTCTGTTGCATTTGAGCATGCAGCGGCCAGACAGAAACTTGTAAAAGTCGAAGAATCGCGGTTACATGCCGAAGAGCTGCAATGGATGTGCAGAACACCAAAGTTCGTCCACAACCATGTACCTTCAATATGTAATAAAGATACGCATCCTTCTCTTCATCGCGACACCTTCACAGAACTTAAAGACATCAATGACAGAGCTGCAGCAAGTATTTTATTTCATAACCGCCGGATGTTCAACAACGAGAAGCTAGGAGAAAAATTCCATACCAAATACACTATAGACTAGCTCAAAAGTTCCGTGTTCCTGTTAAAAACGTCAATTAAAACAAACTCAAAACATCACAACATCATGAAAGTGGCAACTTACTGTATCACTGATTCTTCAAGCTTTCTTGCAAGGACGTCTTTGGTAGTGAGATCAATTATCACTGCATTGTCTCTCATTGCCGCCCTTTGTATAAGAGATGCCACTGAATACTCGTTCTTCTTTGATGTACTCTTGTCATTAAAAAAGCCCCTCTTTAGCTTCTTCTTAAAACCAGGGGGAAGTGACAATGTGGCCGAAAATACTAACGTTTGCCGCTTCTTCACTGGTTCTATAACAATTGTTTCGGTAAAATCTTCCTTCATGGTTGTATCTTCTGCTGGTTTTGACTGATCTTCATCTCCTTGCTCACCATCCACATCTTGTTCTTCATCTCCATCTTCTTCATCTTCATCTCCATCTCCTTCTCCATCTCCATTCTCGCTGTTGGTTTCTTCAACATTATCATCATCAGAGTCTGGATACACCTCAACATTTTCGTCTTCTTCAGGATCATCTCCTTGCTCTTCCTCGTTTTCTTTGGGGGTTTCTCTTCTCCTTTTACGTCGTTGAAGCGGCTTTTCATCATCTGCAGCAGGTTCACGTCCAGTCTTCGGAAGCATATCCATGATCGACTGAAGTTCCTTGAAATGACCTCTTTCTACCATACGATCGGCCTCATCCAGGACAAAGAATGATAGTTGTGCCAGCTACATCCCACGAGGTAACAAACATGGTTAACACAGCAAGACAAGCGCCGAAGGGCTAAAAAACCCTTTCTCTTCCTCTCATACTCAACTAAGAGACTTGTTATGTGAAGCGAAAGAGCACTTAGGTTCAAAAATGAAAACATCATATAAAAAGACTACAACGAGTGTCAAGAGTAAATCAATTGAAAACCTATGACCAAACATCATTCTCTTTTATGACTACTCGCAGGCCATACACCAAAACGGTTTGTACAAGACAAATTCCGCACCAAACATTCATACAAAAATTCCCAAGCGTCTAATTTTTTTGCATTTACACAACATTCCAGCATTGGATATCTGTATTGCGACATACTACAAGTGAACTATATCCACCTGCTCATAGATCATAGCTAAACAGGTGGACAATTATTAATAATACTATGTTAGCAAGGGAAAAAATGACGATTGCCTCTAGATGTCTTTTTCCTGATGTCCTCCCAAACTAACTGATAGTCATACAAAATGAAAACTTACATCAAGAAGATGTGCTTCACCGGCACTCATAAGCTCCCACAAACGTCCAGGTGTCCCGACCACTATCTGTGGCTGGTATCTCAGAAGACGCTGTTGCTTTTGAAGGGCCATTCCCCCAACTATGGGCACAACATTGAAATTTGTGAATTGAGCCGCTGCTCTCAAATGATCGCACACCTGCCACAAGGCCGCAAATCAGAGTTAACGCCACTTAAGCAACTAGAAAAAGAGAAATGACCTAAAAATACTAATTGATAAACGGATTTTTCCTCTAGAATATCATTTTTGAGAGTAATGAGCTTTCAGATCGAAAAATACAATGAGGTTTCCAGCTGATACCGGCAGCAGTTCAAAAATCCAACCCAACAAACCTAGCACAACCACCGTCGGCTCCTATTCCGGAAACATTTGCTTTCAGAAACCTTGGAAACAGTAAGCACCCGAAAAAGTGTTCTAATCGTAAATAATGGCTTTTAATAAGTGCGCACCTGCAATGCAAGTTCTCTTGTAGGAGTAACGATGAGAGCACGCAAGGGACCTCCAGATTGTTTCTTGCTAGCCTTGTCAAAACCTGATTTCCTTTGAATCTTTTCATGATCATCCAGAAGCCGTTGTAGTATTGGAAGGCCAAATGCAAGAGTCTTTCCCGATCCTGTCTCAGCAGCACCAATGACATCCTGAACATCCATATCAAGGTATAAATCTAAGCTCATGCAAAAAACCGCATAAAATTAGGATGCAGAACGTGGAGAGAAAGCACAATCAATCTCAGACCCAACTGCTTTCCATGAGGGGAAACTGACAGGCGCATAGACAAATTCATGCAATATTAAAAATTGGGCAGCACACCTTTCCCTGGTAAGCAGCAGCAGCAATACATTTCTCCTGAATATGAGTTGGCTTCGAAAATTTTAACTTCATTAAAGCCCTCATTAGAAGAGGATTAAGCCTTAGTTGAGCCCATGCCGACATGTCGATTTCCTCTATGTCATCGGCTTCAATAGAAGGTGTATTTTCTAACCTCTCTATTTCCATATCTTCACGTTTACGCATATCCGCTTCAGAGATTTTATCCTCATTGACATGACCCTGTTTTCCGTCGACCCCTGATAAAAACCTTAGCTAGTGTCAATAAGATGTTAATGAAAGTCTAATGCATGCAGCGGCTAATCTCTCCAACTCCAACACCCTCAAGTGACAATGTTCAAGAGCCCACGTAATTAGTTTATGCTACTTTTTTGAAAAAGTACAATTGATAAAACCTTCAGATTAAAGGTTTCTGAATATGAACAAGGATCCATATACATGCCAGGAACACAAAAGAACATAAAAATAAAAATTGAAAATTGAAAAAACCAGGAAATGATTGGCACCGTTCTGTTCCTGCTGCTTTTGCAACCGAAGAAGTCTCCTCGCTTTGGAACCAAGCTTGACTTTCTTTCCTGAGCCATCCTCTTTGATGTTCTTGAGTGTGACTTTTGTTACGGCCGTACTGTCCTTGGCGTTCTTAGTTTCAATGTCAGTTACAACCTCTCTAACATCCTTGGGCGCGCTCCCGTCAGTGTCCCCCGCAATAGTATTGATTACAGGTCCCATTACAAACAACGACTTGCTGTCTACTTTAGACGAATTCTTCTTAGACGGTGGCACGTCTACTTTGGAATTATCTTCTTTTGTCTCAAAGTTCTCTACATTTGAGGAACCATCAACCTCTGCATTCTTACCTACTTTAAGTTTTTTCTCTTTTTTTTTCTTCTTCTTTTGCTTCCTTTTCTCATTCCCGGCACTAGATCGAGACAAAGATCCTGGAGTGCTCCCATCAGATGGAACAATTGCATCATCTCGTTCAGATGGCAAGGTAAGCCCCTCAACAAGCTCACTTGACTCGACAGCTTTCTTAGAATCTAATTCCTTCTTAGTTCTTTTCTTAATTTTCTTTTCGGACTTTGCATTGGCTTCTGGTATCGCACCGAGCAGACCACCCTCCTCAGTCGTACCGACAAATACATCCCCATCAATCTCTTCAAGTGACATAAACCCTGTATTCATACCACAAATGCATAAACCTTAGAAAAACCTGACCATTGACCAGAGATCAGCCGTAATTTATAATTGCGCGTCGAGAAAACTCGGCGCTTTAAAAACCAATAACCGCAACCAAATCCGAACTAAAAGCCGAACCACAACGTTGCCTGCAAGCGCCACGAGAACTTGACCATGGCATCAACTGTGAAGGAGCATAACAAGCTCGCCATTGATGCAGCACAAAATTAACCAAACAAAAAGCTAACTAAGCCCAATAATCTCCAACAAGCACTACCACAGCCCCAAGGCAACACGTGGAAAACCCTAAACACAAACCAAAACCATTGTACGCTAAACCCTGACCTAATACCACCACGGGGTGTCAATTCGGAACTCTTCAACGCATCTTCAAACAAGGCTAACAGGCAATCAAGAGCCAGTAACGGTGACACGAGCGCACCTCCCTCGTCGCTGCCAATAAGGATCGACAATGGATCATTCGGAGTGACATTTTTCCAGGCAAGAGAATTCCCCCACACTGCATCCCGGGATCCCTTTGCACCGGCGGGCCTCTTCCTCTTCTTCAGCTTGCTCTCGCCCTCTCCGGAGCCCTTCTTGCTCAACTTCCCCATCTCAATCCTCACTGGTCCTCCAAAAACCACCACCACCACCGTCAGGGGAACCTGCGCCTCTGCTCTTCAAACTCCTAATCCTACATCCTCCGCAGTGAAATTCTGCGCTACTCGGGACCTACCCCCTCAAAAAAACCAAATCAACGCACGCTCCTAACGACTTCTGATGAACTTCAGAGTCATGAAAATTGAATCAACAACATTCAGCGAATGAATCCTTGCGAGCTTCAATTCACACAACAGCTCCGGATGAAGCCCTTCAACCAACTCGCTTCTCGGCCTGGCGGCTTGAAGGCCAATTTGTTCGTTCGTAGATTTTAAGAGTAAACTCTTCTTCTAGTATACATCACCACTTTAGTTTTCTAATGAAGATAATTGATGTAATAAATTCAGTTTGCGAAGATAGGAATTTAGAGATCTACTCTTTCGGATAATTATGGAGCATGATCTAAGAATATTGTTAGATCGTAGGATCTAGGTTACGGCGACGGCGAACTTGTCGGGGCTTGAACTGCGTGCGTGCGTTGTCGTCGTCGTCGTGAAGAGAGTGTGAGTTCCCTGAACTGGGTTAGTTAAGCTTTGCGAGGATTTACGCATTCCGCGACTACTGCCTCTTGTGCCCGTTGCTGTGCAAACCGAATATTATCATCAAAGAGGTGGATGAGTGGGCTAAATTTAGTCAAGCGCTTCGTCTTTGACGTTGGCGTAATTTGAGAATTTAGGGGTTGGTTTAATGGATTCGTGACAGCGTGGAGGTTGGTATCGGAGAATTGCGTGGAGGATCTTTGGAGGACTACGGTTCGTGACATTTTTCATGAATGTGAATTGGAGCCTAGATTGCAGATTGAATCGTCAATCCACCGTCCTTTTAGTTCAGGGCGAGACGCGAGGTCTGGAGACTCGTGCTCAGAGTGAGAGAGAGAGAGAGAGGGTGAGAGATTTCGTCAAGCAGTGGATTGACCTTCAAGTTGCACCCTCTGCTGATTGTTAGCATCTCCGATCATCATACCCGGATTATGGCGCAGATTGGGGATGCTAGTTGTCCACCTCGGGTTTATGGCTGTGTGTTAGGGGTGCTAGTGGGGCGTACCGTTGGGATTTTCAATAGTTTTGAGCTTCTTTACGACCTGGTAGCAGGGGAGCTGTGTCGCGAATTTCTCGAGGTTAAGCATCTGCAATGTGAGTTGAATATTTTATGTTTTATTTTTTATTTTTTTATTATCTTCTCCAAAGTTCCCAAGCCTATGTGTCATGTTATGATTGGTTTGGTCATTCTGATTTGTTTTGGAGAAACTTGTGTTGCTGCACACTTGGAAATTTTAACCTACTGCTTTTGACCTGCGTCTGGTCTGAAGGTAGTCTACATTATAGAAACAGAACTTATGAACTTCCTGTGCTATATACATTACTGGCCTTATACTCGCTGTTAGATGGTTTCGGTTAATAGTATCCGTTATTACAGCCTCTTTTAAGTAAGCTCTCACGCAAAATGAAGGCGCATCCCATGAATCAGCGAATTCTACAACGAACACTAAATAGTTATGTTGTATTCTACGGGCATGTTCAGAAGCATTAGGGCGGACTTTCGTACGCCTCGAAATTGAACATCCGATTCTGAAGCTTTAAATGAACTAGTTTGTTGGAAGCTTGAATGTTTTTGATTTGGTGCCAACAGACAAGAAGGTCTTCCCCAAGTATGACATACTGGGCTGCTACTCAACTGGTAGTGATGTCCTGGACTCGTACATGCATATTCATAAAGCCGTAAGAGTTTGGGAGTCTCAAGAAATCTATACAAGTAAATGAAATGAGAATTTCATGCATCCCTAATCGTTTCTTCAGCGGTAATAACTCTTACAAATCTCTGTATCGTCCTTTATCTGATGAATTCGAGTTGTGCTCGCGTTGTCATGTTGTGTTAGTATTGGCGAAGACAAGTATTGAGGAACTATTTAGTCCCCATTGCAAGTATTGTCCCTATAAGTATTTTGACTAGGTCAAGGAACCTGACGTGTTTTCTCTCTGTATGCCAGTTCATGGACATTGATGAGAGTCCAGTGTATGTACTGCTGAGCCCTGCTATCAACCACGCACAGAAAGACCTCCTTATCAGTACTTTCGAAAGCGGTGGGTTGCTCTGTGCTGTGAGCATACATGCGTTTGCAATACCAATTCAGCGAAGTTTTTTTGGCTAGAATATCTGATCTCTTAGCAACTAGTGGTTGCATTCAAGCGTACGATATGGGGGAAACTGTCTCTCGAAAGATTTAGTTTGGAATTTTCAGTGCGAGATATTTTTGCACCAAGCATAGGGAATGTTCAAGCATTATTGACAATCCCTTCTCAACTCTCTTCGTTCGATTGTTGAATTCATTCCAATTTCATTTAATTTAATCTAATTTCGTTTTGGCCTTTCTTTCTTGGCATGGCCTTGCAGAATTACCCGTGATTGATGAATCTCCTTCCCTTATTTTTGTTAACGCAAATTATACTATAGAGGTACGGCTTTTCTCTGTCCATCAGTTATCTGTTAGGCTCTTTTTTTCACATGTGGTTTGATCATGGGATGTCTGAGAATACCAGTGGATCACGTGGCTCATGTAAAGCCTTCTGACGGGAGCTCTGCTGCAACGCAACGAATAATCCCTTTCAGTAACCTTGCTTGTTTTCTATATTCTATCAAGCAAATTAATGCATTTTATTATATTATTTTGATTTTTTACAGTTATAATTATTAATCTGAGAGCGATCAGCGGGCTTATGTTTATTATTTAAAGTATGACCGACCAGGACAAAATCCAATTCAGTTCTGGTAATGTTCATTTTTTTTATCGTCATATGTCGACTTATGGAATGAATTGTTCCTATTTTATGCAGTACTATCAATGAGTTGGTGGACAAATTCAACGTAGCTTATGACAAGCAAAACCGGTGGGGTGGAGGGACTACTTTCATTTGAGTTGTTGAAACTGGCCAGAATTTGTATATGGACCAATGCTAAGATACAGGCAGACTTTGTATGTCTTCAGCAGGATAGAATGTGCGAGCAACTACTCTCTGTAATGAAGGTGATTATAGATGTGATGCATATTTCTTTACCCAATTGAAGATACCAGCTTCAGGAAGGTATCATGGGTATGGTTTTAGACACGAAACAGGTTTGACATGCGATATTCTCCTCTCAAAGCAAGAATCTGATTGCCATTGAGCTTCAGAGTATTTCCGTTACATGGCATAAAGCAGTTTCCATATTCTAGTGATTCGTATATCCTTTGGCTGGTTGATTTGAGGCTGTTGTTAATTCGAGCCCCACATATTGTCGTTGAGGATTGAAGTGTTCATCGATAGCATTATATGTCGTTACAACAATGAGGATGGGTCCAGTTTGAAGTTTGTCGTGGTACACCATTTACTACAGTTCACGCAGCGAATCCACGGTAATCTATGACCGCCGTCTCTTTAAAACACTCGTTCGGCACAGGTTGAGAAGTTTACTGCTTCGAAAATGGCTTGGATCTCTGGAAGCTCCGTTTAATAACAGTATCGACTCAACGATGTACTTTTAGTGAATCGTTACTTTTCATGTGCTGTGTCCTCAATATTGGTCGCGCATGGAATGAGGAGAGCATCTTGTCACAGTAGTAGATGCACAGATGCTTTGTTTGAGGCTATGGTGACGTGATTTTCTGAATGGCTTCATTTCGAGAGGTGGTCGTGACTTGCTCAAGAATGTCAGAGAACTTAAAGTCCCCACTGTAGGAGTACGTTCATAAGTGGGCCGTAGCATTGAGAGCAACAGCGTAATCCAGATATTTGTGTCACTGCAGGATCTCGGTGCCTCGGTGGCTGAATCGTATCGCCAGTGGCCCCTTGTTACCATCCCTTTTTTACAAAGTCACTGTCAATTTCTCCACTCTAGCGACTTCGATTTGCTGTGTGCACAGTCCATGCGACCGACTGGGACAGAGCAGCATTGCTATGGCCCACAGGACGAACTGTGCAGCCTCGGTTACTCTAGATTGTCTGGTCTAATTCCTTGAGCTCTATTCCCACTGTTGCTGCGTTTCTTCGACCTTTTGTAATGCTGTAAGTGCGGCATTCCTCTCGACTCACAAGCTACAGGGCATCCTCCACGCCATGCAATACCGTTCACTTGCCAGGTTTGGCCTTCCTCATCGTGTTAACCCATGTTGTGCTAGCAGGAAGAGGATCCTCAACTCGCGTTCATCAAATTTGTTCTTGGACTAGTTCAGGCCAAAATAGGGAAACGTGAGTGAGTGCACACATTACCATTCATTGTACTTTTTGGTATATTCAAGTTCAAAACCGCAGAATCGCATCAATTTGGTTCTAGAGTTTCTTAGTTTTTTCAAAAGAATTGTATTTAATCGTCCCTATATCCCATCATGAATGCTACAACAGCCAAGTAAAACCTCAAACTCCAATTGGTCTGTGCGATGAATCTACATACCTTCAATTTTAGTGTTTGTGCGCAACATGACATTGCAAATTAGTCTGTCACTAGAAGCCCTCACTCCCATGCATGAATGTGGGCCACAACCCTGCCATCCCACCAACTGCTTTTCCCTTAACCTGTGATGCCAAGAGCATCCCAGTGTGAAAACTTCAAAACTGGAACTCCAGCATGCCAAGCTTGGTGGGAGCCCTATTTTAGTTGCTTCCTCAGAATGGCAAGACCAGTATTTGCCATGGGATCAGGCCCAGGTGGATGGGGCTGATAACCTGCAAGTGTGTTTTGACTGTATGCAGTTGTAGCGTTTCTCAGACATGACAAAATGTGCACCAAAAGGATTTTGCCCCAGGAGAAAGACAAGAAAAGAGAGCAGCAAAAAGAGCTAGAGAACCATTTTCAATTGGTATCTGATTTCCGCACAAGCTAACAAAAAGGCTGAGGAACACAGAGGCGTGTGCATCTGGACCAAGAATTATGAAAAAGCTCTCTCAACCATGTTGTTGGTCCAATTGTAGGTGAAAAATGCCACGTCTCTTGAGTGGGGATTGGTTTTCACACACCTCCCCTTCAGGCACAGACTTTCCTCAATTACAGCAGCTTTGCAACAAAACCCAACATGATACTATCCAATACAACATAATTTCACCGTTGCACTGAGATTGCTTGGAAATGGGATCCACCCATTTTTTTTGTTTTTTTCCTGCCCCCCCTCTTAACCTTTCCTTTTGTCCTGGGGTGTTGCTACGTGGGCCATTGAGGGCACCTCATTAGTTTCGGCTAAAAGGTGTGTAAAACTAGAGTGTGTTTTGTTTGTTTGTTTTTTTTTCTTTTTTTTTTGTACCATGTATAGCTAGATTACAATGTGTATAATGTGGGATTTGATCCAATCCACATATACAAGATGGTGATACAAATGTTGAAGTCTTGATGGATTGTTTACAAAGGATCACTTCTTTGCACAACATCATGCGATGATGTGGAATAAGTCTAGTGCATCTATTATAACAAGTGCTATTGTAAGATGTGAAATAAGTCAAGAGGACATGTCATACCAAATCTATTGACTTTTACATGTAAGATTTAAAATAAATCTAGTGCATCTATCATTACAAGCCTATTGACTTTTACATGTAAAATGTGAAATAAATCTAGTGCACTTAGCATAAGAAGCCTATTGACTTCTACAAGTAACTACTTTAGATATCCAATTTGGTTCTTTTTTTCTATTTTCTTCTTTCTTTTTTATCTCTTAAAAACCTTACAGATCTCTCAAGTATGTATAATTTTCTTAAGTTCAGTAAATTTTAGCAAAAACATCCCTCTCAATTTATAACTTTTACAACACATATGTGAGAAGTCATTGTCCACTGAAATTACATAGTATATTTGTTTATATTGGCAGTAAATAACCTTAAAAGAACATTATTTTTTGATTGAGTTATTTTCAAAAATATTTTCTTCAGTTTTTAAGAACCCAATTCCTTTATTTTATATATTAGTATTTTTTTTTTCATATAATAAAAATTGGCATGTGAAACTACACTTTAATATGTACATATTAAAATAAATAATAATTTATAATTTAAATACAAATTTTATGCGTAATTAGAAGAAAATCATCTGCAATTAGGGGAAAATTCGTATTTACATTTATATTTGGTAATGAAAGTAAGGAAATTCTAATATGTTTTATTCATTGTTAAAAAAATATTATAAATTGTATAGGTCATATATTTGAAACTTTTAGTTAAAAATTGGTTTGAAAAAATAAGTTTATTTATGTTCTACTTCTGCATGTTAAATTTGTGGTATGCCACACTTATAGATGTCAATGCATCCAATATACTTAATGGGTATAAGTAGTGGAATATGTATATGCAAAATCTATTTTTGGATTGGCTAGAAATTAAATATATAAAAATTTGATAAAAGCTAGTACAGATAATAGATGCTAAAATATGGGAATTTAAGTTCAAATAAAAAAAATTTAGAAGCACAAATAAGATTTGAAAATTTGTGTATTTGAGGCAATGTGTAAATCAAACATGCATAACATGTTTTACATAATACTTTCAATATTCAAAAGTAAATAAAACCATTATTATATTTATTTTATCTTTAACTTAAAAAACACAAAGGTATTCAAATCATAACTTAATCTGTTTAATTTAAATTTAAAAAATAAAATTTAAATTAACATGTAATTTTTAATATTAAGTCTAAATTATAATGTTATTACTAGGAATATTAGTTACTATATAATTACATATTTGTTTGAATAAGATTTTAATAAAATATGTAGCATGAAATAGTCAAAGTGATGTTTAATTATGTACCTAACAAAAAAATTCACATGTATTACAATGTAATCAGTAATTGCTTATAGAAAAATACAATAAGTTCATGAATTACAATACACTACTATCACTGACACATCAATATTATTATTGTTGATATATTTATAACTATAATATTTTATTTTATTTTATTTTATTTTAACTAATTTTGATGTCATATAAAACTTAATGAATATTTTTTTAGTTTCAAATATTGATAAACATGTATAAATAATAAAAAATGCAACATATCTATGTTCTGAAAATGGACCCACATAAATTTTATCTCTATCAAGTAATTTTATTTAATCACTATATTTAGAGGAAAATATTAAATTAATTTACATTTTTCTTAAATCAACCCATTGTTAGTAAAATATAGATCCAACCTCCGCCAAATAAACTCTGCTTTACTCCCAAATCTATAACTCTCTAATTTGATTTCAAATCTACAATGCACCACTCCTAAATCCACTCTTCTATGATCTACTTCAACCTCAAATCTGCCCAAATATACATTTCTTTATGAATCTCTGCTTACATTAATTTATGGTTATTTTTAAATTAAAATATAATCTATCTATTTGATGGATTATATAAATTTTATTGTGTTTCAGTTTTTATTTTTTTTTATTTTTTTTTAGATGCAAAAACTTATCCATTCTATTTAACTGCTTTTAAAGATACTTCAAAAAAGTTATTAAAATTTTAAGCTATTTTCTATGTTTTTTAAATATTAATGTAAATTTATTTATATATATATAATATATATAACATAAATTTAGACGCAAATTTAATATCTTAATAGTTTATAAGAAATAACTTTTGTATTGTTTATACTTTTTTGTATCTATCTCAATGTTGGTAGTAGAATAATAATGACTCCTTGAAGTTGCTCATACACAGCTTATATATGTGAATATTTCTTGCACGAGTTTTTTTCTTTTAAAAAACCAGCAATTCTCTTGAGTTAAATACGTAATTATTTTTATTATTATTCCATAGCTTTAAAAAATATATTAAAAAAACTTTTTGGTGATTTACATTATGGTGAAATTTTAAAATATTTAATTTTAAATATATATTAATCATTTTTTTCATTTTATAATTTTTTTTCATCAATAAGTTTATTCTTGAGGTCTGCTCTGGTTTTAATCTATTTATCTTATACAATTCACCATATTAATTACGATTCTGGTTAACCAATTCAACTCAATCTAATTAAAATCGGGATGTAAAATATTTTATAAAAATTTAAAAATTTAAAATTGTAAGAATTACATTACATTATAAATTAAAACCAAAATAAGTTTACGCAAAAAGTATTTTAAAAATTTAAATCATTCATTAAAACATATAATTTTATAAACTTTATAAGAACCAAAGTTATATTTGTTGCCCAATACATAATACTTATTACTAAAGAAAATACTTTACAAAATATTTCAGA